CTGTGGTTGGGCTACAACCAGATCGGGGTGGTGGAGCCGGGGACTTTCGCCTTGTTGCTGCACCTGAAGAACCTGGACCTGAGCCACAACAAGATCGTGGATTTCCCCTGGCAGGACCTCCGCAACCTCAGCGGCCTGCAGATCCTGAAGATGAACAACAACCGCCTGGCCGGGCTGCCCAGGGATGCCTTCCGCTCCCTGAAGGACCTGCGCTCCCTGTGGCTCAATGACAATGAGCTGACCACCCTGGCCGAGGGCACCTTTGATAACCTGCCCTCCCTGTCCCAGCTTCAGATCTTCAACAACCCCTTTAACTGCTCCTGCAAGGTCTTCTGGCTGAAGAAGTGGACTGAGAGCACCTCTGTGTCCATCACCAAGGGGGGCTCTACCCTGTGCGTGGCTCCCGGCAGGATGAAGGGCAGGGCGGTGACGGACATCCCTGACCACCACTGCGTTGCGCCCTCCGTGCAGCTCACCTACCTGTCCAACCTGGACAACACGGTCATGTACGATGGCCTGACGCTGACCCTGCACTGCAGCGTGGCGGGCAGCCCTCCGCCGGAGATCAGGTGGAAGATCCAGACCTCCAGCCGCCGTGTTGAGATCAACGGGCCCAACGTGGCGCGGGATGGAAACGTGAAGCAGAGCCAAGAGCACTTCCTGGTCTTCAAGAACGGCACCATGGCCATTCCCAACTTCAGCAAGCAGGATGAAGGCATCTACACCTGCGTCGCTGTCAACGATGTAGGAACACGGGATGTCTCAGTCAACGTGGCCTTGGCTGGGTCAGAGAACCCAGCTGAGGATCTGCTCCGAGATGACCCCCATGCTGGCCACCCTGGGGGCAGGAGCTGCTACAAGGGGGATGAGTTAGATCCTTCTGGCACTGGAGAGAAGCTGGTGATCGTTTACCACATGCCGAGGGAGTCCAAGATCAGGGCTGGAGGAGCAGTGCCCCAGGTCCACCTGGGGACCCTCCTACTGGCTTTGGGCATCGCACTCTGCTGTTAAAGGGGGGGGGAGAAGGAAACAGTGCCTTGGGGGTCCCCCTCTTTCTGTAGCATTTATCTTCACGTAGTGCCATGCCTTTGCTGAGCTTCTGGGAACTGCGGGAGGTCAGGAGTCAAAGGGGGCCAAGACTCAGACCCAGTTCAACTGCTCCTTAGATGGGGGTCAGGGCTGGGCTTGGTTAGCTAAGAGCTTCAAACAAGCTCGGGTGATGCAGAGCAGATCCATATTGTGCTGCTGCGTTCAGGGCTCCAAACCTGCCGCCTCCCGACTTGTCTCCCTCCTGAGACCAAAGTAGGATTAAAGTCCATCATCAACAGGGCGACCATCACCCCATCCCCAGAGCCCACCTCCAGGCGCAGCAGTGAGCTCTGATCAGGGAGGGCATCTCTAGTCCAGCAGCACCAAAGATGACATCCCTGCTGTGACCAGCACCCAGGCCCATGGCTGGCCAGGCGCATCCTTCCTACCACCAACCTCACATGAAGCACCAGGAGCAGAAGGACCAGTCTGAGAGTGGGGAAATAGCTTGGACATGGGCTCCTGGGGCCCCAGGGGACGTAGCTCTGAGGGACGGAGGTATGATGGTGCTTTGTAGGCAGGATGGGTATGGCAGGACACGCTGGATGGGGCTTTGGGCTTGGATCAGGCCATTTTATGGAGCAGGAGAAGCTGTTCCACAGGCTTCAATCCATGCGGAAGCACAAAGGGTTGTGCTGGGAGCACCCAGGGTGCCTGCACCCTCCCTACATGTTGCAGGATCAGGCCCTGCCTCCCTCAGTACCTTTCCCAGATGTGATGCAGCTCGTTTCCTCCCTCCCCTTTGCCTTTCACTGCTGAAGCCTGTGGTCCAGACTGCTGCTCTGGGCTGGACCCACCAAGCTGACCTGCTCCAGCTCCAGCCCCAGCAGGGAGGAATGGAGCTCAAAGAGACCAGAACAATGTCCCAGCACTCCTCTTTGATGGGAAACCAAGCAGGGACTGCACGATGGAATGGGAGGAAGAAAGATTGGGAAAATCCAGATGACAGAAAGGGAAACTGAGCTGACCTGTAAGGCATAAACAAACTCCTTAAGTGCTTTAGCATTCCCACAGGGGGCATATATACCATACCCGACTGCCCACGGTGCTGGGGAACCCCTTGTCTCCTGGTGGGGGGGCTGAGCATCTCCATCTCCCCTACCCCGAGGCACGGGTGGTCCAGCTCTTGTGTCTTCTGCCAGTGCTCGCCTGCGGGAGCTGGATGGATGCCTCCAGCCCTCTTGCCTTGTAACCAAAGCTGTATGGACACCAATAAATACTGGTTGTTGTTGTTTTGTAAACTGGTTGTGCTGCCTCTGTGCACACCAAACCCAGCACATCCCGGGTATCACAGCGTATAGAATCACAGCCTGGTTTGGGTTGAAGGGACCTCAAAGCTCACCCAGTCCCAATCCCTGCCACAGGGAGGGACCCCTTCCACTGGAGCAGCTTGCTCCAAGCCCCTGTGTCCAACCTGGCCTTGAGCACTGCCAGGGATGGGGCAGCCACAGCTTCTCTGGGCACCCTGTGCCAGCGCCTCAGCACCCTCACAGGGAAGAGCTTCTGCCTAAGAGCTCAGCTCAGTCTCCCCTCGGGCAGGTTCAAGCCATTCCCCTTGGCCTGTCCCTACAGGCCCTTGTCCCAAGCCCCTCTCCAGGTTTCCTGCAGCCCCTTTAGGCACTGGAGCTGCTCTAAGGTCTCCCCTTCAGGAGCCTTCTCTTCTCCAGGCTGCCCCAGCCCAGCTCTCTCAGCCTGGCTCCAGAGCAGAGCTGCTCCAGCCCTTGCAGCATCTCTCCACTCCACCAGCACACCGAAGCTGGGTCCTGTTGAGCTTCTCCTGAACCAGCACCCCCAAGTCCTTCTCTCAATCATCCCCAGCCCTCTTTGCCCAGGGGGCACCAGTTCCCCCCCCCAGGTCCCCCAAAGCCCTCCCATAGTGACCCTGGAGGATGGATACACTTACAGGACACCCCCAACTCCCCCCGTTGCTGCCTGCAGCAGGCAGGGGAAGGCAGGAACGCCGAAACCAGCTGCAAACCAGGCTCAAGCCTGCACACAAGCTCTGCAACCCCAGCAGTGGGTGTCCAGGCAGCCTGCAGGGTTAAGGGAAGGAGCAGCCAAGGAGCTGCCATGTGTCAGCACAGCCCGGGTACGGCGCCGAGGGCTCCGTGGGGGTCCCGAGGCAGAGCCGGGCTCTGATGCTAACAGCCAGGCCCATGTTTTTCCCATTACAGGCAGAAAGGATGGAAAACATTGCGGCCCCAATGAGAGTTTTGGTTTCATTTCAGAGGATACAGCTTTGAACATGAGTTTTATCACAGCCGGGGTAATCCCTTCCCTGCCTGCCTGGGAATACAGGGCTACAGGAGTTTATTCCTGCAGCCTCAGATGGCAACAGGGTTTGGAGCCTGGGATAAAGATGAACGAAGTAAGACCGTCTCTGCCTGCCTTGCCAGTCTGCTGCTCCTCCTGCCTTGGTGCATGGCTGATTTGGCACCAGAACGGTGAATTCCTTCACTGCCACCAAGTTCACCCATGGATTTATGGCTAATTGTAAGTGGTATCAAGCATCACTCATTTATAACAAACAGAGCACCCTGCTGCGTGCCTCTGGATTAGATGCTGCAGGTGATGCTGCACTTGGCATCACCATCCTGACCCCCCCGGCCACCAGCCCACTCAAGCCCAGGATGCCACCACAACCCCCATCATCTCCTCTGTGTCCCTCACATTTGCAAAGCCACAGCATGACCCAGCCCTGAGTGTGCATTCCCCACAGGGGCAGTTTTCCATGAAAGGCTGTTTTTGCAATGGGATCGTCTCCCTGAACCACCTCACCATGAGCTCAGGGGCTGGGTGGAGAGGACTGCAGATGCACGGGGGGCAGAGCTATTGATGCTGAGGGCTTAGAAGAAGGGAAGTGCGGCCACCACGAAGAAGAGGAGCTCAGTTCACCCCCAGGGCACGCTGCTTATGTCAAAGAAGGGAAAGAAAACAAGCAAATCAGAGAAGGCCCCTCCTGCCAAGACATCTCCAGGAAGCCTTGGGCAGGGCTGTGTAAACAGATGCTGAAATCCAGCTCCACCCATGGCCCAGGGCTGCCAAAGGTTTTAGGGATTACCAAGGCTGCCTCCAAAGCCCCCGAGGCTGGAGATGGGATGGGCTGCAAGGGGAATGTGCAACCTCTGCCTTGGGGCATCACTTCAGCCGGGTACACATAGGACACCCAGCACCGCATCTCTCCTGCACTCACAGTGTGAAGCCCAGGGGGAGCAGCAGGACCTGCCCCTTGGGCTTCTGCTGTCTTAAGAAGGAAACAGCCCTGGGGTGCCACGGCTGTCACCCAGGTTGGTGATGATGTGCTATGTGCCAGGCAGTGTTCAAATCCCATCAGAAGAGAGTGGGTTTAATCCTGTTTGTTCAGCGGGCAGGGAATGGGACAGGGATTTGAGCATCCAAGTGCACCGAGCGGCCCTTGGGGCAGCTCCAGATGAAGGCAGGGACTCGCCCCTGTCTCTTTGCTAGGATAGAAAGGCAGCAGGGTTAGGCTCCTGGGGAAAGGGTTGGTGCCCACCCAGCTTCAATGGTGTGGGGAGATGCCAGGACACCTACCAAGGACCCTGGTTGGGCTGACACTTCCAGCCAACGAAGGCAGGGTTAAGGAACACATCATGGGAGGAGGTGATCCGACACCACCTTGGACACCTACCTTTGGGGCTTCAGTTACTGTATGTCCAGTTTCAGTGCATATCCTTCATGGGAATCATGGGTTAGGGCCAAAAGTTTTGATGGGAAAGCAAACTGAGCAGCTTTGCATTAGGTGAGGATCTGCTTTGGTTCCATCACCCGCAGGTCAAGCAGATCGTACCACAGAGCCCCTGCTGAGCAAGGTGAGACCCAAACATCACCCAGAGACAGCCCCCCTGTCCCGTCTGGTTTACTTGGGCATGGACACCAAGCACACCCAAGCATAGGAATGAGGTATGTGATTTATTAACCTTCCTGGCCTCAGCAGGGCCAAGTGAGGTGTAAAACTGCTTTCTATGGGTTCAAGCTCAGCTCACTTGGAGGGGCACCAGCCCCGGGGAACTGCTGGCTTGGAACAAAACAAGGGGTGGCAGCAAGAGGCACCAGGTCACGAGTTATGGGGAGCAGAACCCAACTGGGTCTGCAACCTCACAGCCCGGAGGGGATGGGGTTTTAGCCCTCACAAAACTGGGGGGAAAGGGGTTCCAGGGTCAAGTAAGGGGAGCCAGGATCAGAAATGAAAGGGAGAAGCTGGGGATGGGGTTGGCAGTAGGGACCTTCTCCATGGGAACACCACACTGAGATGGGGGTAGTTCCTCATGCTCAGTCTGGATGAGGACCCTTCCACACACCCATGCACACCCATTCTCCCTCTCTCCTTTCTCCCCTGGTGCTGGGGACTGGTCCCAGCCGTGCCATATGTCAGAAAGAGAACTGTTGAGAACTGGTGGGCTCATTGCAGGAGTGACTCCTAAGACGCTTGAGATGGCTGAAGGGTTCAGCTTGGCTCCTCAGCCCTTCTCCATCCAGGTCAGGCTTGGAGGTGACCCGTTTGTCCTCACCTCTGCACCATGGTAGTGGCTCAGCATGGACCTAAAGCTACAAACCAGCCCCCATCACTGCTGGGGAGGGGCAGGAGGTGCCCAAAGCTCCCTCCAGCACAGGAGGAGAGTCAGTGGGAGACGGGGATGGGATGGAGTGCGTGTGGGAGGCAGAGAGAGGTGGGGGGGTCCCTGGAGGTCAGGGCTGGGGGGTGCTGAGCTGGGTGCCGTTGGCCGTGGGGTCGCAGAGGGCGGTTTTCCTGCAGGCAGTCAGCGCGGGGTTGTTGAGGAGGGTGTAAGCCAACCACCAGCGGGCTCGGCTCTGCTTGAACCGGGCTCTGCTCGGAGCCGCCTGCTTGTGCTGCATCAGCTGGATGCCTGCGAGGAGAGGGGAGGATGAGCGGCTTCAGCCCCAGCTTCCCCTCGCTCCCATCTACACCCATAGGAGCCCTCTTGCGCCCTTGCACATCAGAGGAACAGGAGTAGCTCCTAGGATGGAGATGATCACATGCGACAGCCACAACCCCAATGGCCCCTTTACCCATAGGCACCATCAGCATCTCTAGAGGAGCAGCAAACCCGACCGCGATGATGCTGCCCCATGGTGTTGGCCATGCATCACCCTGGATGGGCAGGGGAAGGTCTCACCTTCTTCCACGTTGCTTGCCTGGAGCCCTGGTGGCCCCTCAGGTCTGGCCAGCTGGAGAAGCAGCAAGCAGAAGGCTTTCATCACCGGGTGGGACTGGCTGACCTCAATCTTCAGATAGTGGCAGTAAGTGTGGTAGCCTGGGGGGACACAGCCCACAGTGAGTGAAATAACAGGGCCAGGCTTCATGGCTCTCCCCTTCCTCCTGCCCTGGAGCAGAGGGGAGGGTTATTTGCTGGGCTCCATCTCTGCACAGCCAGAGCTGCTTTGCCTTCAGAGCTGTTCCCAAAATCCCAGCAGGAAAAGCAGAGGAAAGGAGAACACTGGGGCTGTTCAGCTGTGTGGAGACCTCAGAGCAGCTTCCAGTGCCCGAAGGAAGCTACAAGGATGCTGGAGCGGGACTCTTCATCAGAGACTGGAGCAATAGGACAAGGGGTGATGGGTTCAGACTGAAACAGGGGAGACTGAGCTGAGCTCTTAGGCAGAAGCTCTTCCCTGTGAGGGTGCTGAGGCGCTGGCACAGGGTGCCCAGAGAAGCTGTGGCTGCCCCATCCCTGGCAGTGCTCAAGGCCAGGTTGGGCACAGGAGCCTTGGGTGATAAGATGTCCCTGCCTGTGGCAGGGGTTGGAACTGAATGATCTTAAGGTCTTTTCCAACCCAAACCATTCCCTGATTCTATGTTCCTTCCCTGCTGCCTTCAGCACAGGAGAGATGAGTTCACTGCCCATGGGAACAGGCTCTGGCACTGCTGAAGCCCAGGGGACTCCAGAAGAGCATCACACCCCGTTGGGGATGGGTAGAAAAGCAGGACCAAGCGAGCATCAGAAGCCCCAGTTGTGCCCCCTGCCCATCTCTGAGCAGTTTGAAACCCCACTCAGTGCAGGCAGCTCCAGGTGATGGAGGAGCCCCCAGTGCCCCCATGTTCAGAGGTGCAGCAGAGGGCCCCCTCCATGCCCTACCTGGGTCGAAGGTCTCCACGCCCCGGTTCAGCAGGCTGATGTCCAGCTGGCAGAAGTGGATGGAGTTATAAAGGCCGGATATGAGCATCCTCCAGAGCCCAGCCAGGACGCCCACCAGCACGTTGATGGGGAAGAGCAGGTAGGTGGCGATGTACAGAGCTCGCCTGCAGAGGAGGAGGAGTAAGGAACACAATCACCATGGGATGGGAAGCACGGCCCTTCCCTGCCAGAGGAGCCACCGGCCAAAACAAGCCTCCCTCCCTCATCAGCAGACATGGGCCCCATCTGAGGTGTCTCCATCCCATGGAGAGAAGCAAACAGCCTTCCAGGCGCTTGGAGGAGGGACAGCCTGATGCACCATCGGGAAGCTCAGCTTCCAGCACACATAGGGTCTCCATTTCTCCTTGAAGACTTAGAAATGAGATAAACCATGAGTGTGGTGGTTTGGGATGAGGGACACTGGCTCCTGTGGAGGCTGGAATAGCCTACATCAACCTCACTGCAAGCGGTGGAGGTGGTGGACATCCCTTGGCTGGACACCTAGATCCATGTGTCACCCTGGTCTTCAGCTTAAGGAGACAGCTTCAGCAGTGACACCATGTACAAGGGACTACATCTGCCAGCAGCATCTGAACCAGTCCAGCTGATCCTGAGGGATCTGGGCTTCCCTTGTGGCTTGCAAATGGGGGTGATGGAGCAGGGCATAGACTTCCATAGACTTCACCCACTTCACCCCACTGAAATCAATGCTGTCAATGGACCATGGCCCTCTAAAGCATCTAAAGAAGCCTTTCTGCGAGCATGGAGCCACTTGGACCCCTCAAACCTACAGGTTTCCCCCTTGAGCTTGTGCCATGGAGGACACCACAACACCAGGGACAGATGTAAACCCAACACAGCCCTAGTGCCCTGGACCTGGAGAGGGATCAGCTCTGCCCCAGGGACCTCACCGTGCCCGTACCTGTTGGTGAGCTCCTTCCGGAGGGGATGCTGCTCCAGGAACTGGTACTGAGCTGCCAGGTTCTGCGCAATGACGGCAACCACCAGGGTCAACCAGAAGGGCCTGGGTGGGAGGGAAGGGGCCAAGAGGAGGGCCCCAAGCATGAGGCACCATTCCAAGAGGCAGAAACCTCCAGCAAAGCTGGAAGAGCCCAAGATAGAGCCTCCCCTTGACAGAGCATCTCACACCGTGGCCATGGCTGTGAGCACCCACCACATGTTCTGAATGATCCTGAAGAGGTAACTGTCAGTGCCCGACTGGAGCGGGATGACGAAGAGGAAGGTGAACCCCACTGAGCAGATGAAGAAGATCACTTGCTGGATGAGGAGACCTGGGAGGGAGACACGGGGAGAGGATGGAGAAGCAGAAGATGGAAGAAGTTCTTGCTTTCGTTCCCCAACCAATGCTTGTTTCTGAGCCTCATTTCAATCCCATAGAAAGGCTGTGAGATCCTTCCCTGCCTGCCCTGCTCCCAACACATGGGATTTAATTACACATTCAGCCTCTCTTATCACTCCCCCCATTATCCCTGCTGAGAAGAGGCGTCACTCAGTGCTGCAACTCTGCTGCCTCATCACAGAAATCAGCCTGAGCTCTGATTTCTGATCATAAATCACACCCAGATCAGCAGCTGCTGCTGCTCCTTAAGCTGGAGCTCGTGCTTCACCTCCACTGCTTGGCTTTAATGACTTGAAAGCCAAGACCTTTAAGCAGGAGGCAGAAGCGTGGTGACACGGTGAGATGCAGCCAGCGCCGCACTGAGTACTGGGGGGCCAAAGGAAAGCTGCTCCATGCTGGCAAAGGGGTGCAAGGAGCTCCTGGGGTGCTCCCCAGCTCCTACCTCCACACTGATCTCTGCAACCTACCCCCAAGATGGGTCTGCTCTTGTGAGGGTTGGTCACCAATGGTGGGCTCCCTTGTCCTTCCATCACCGCCCTGGACCCTCAGATTGGCCCTGGGGCGCTGAGATGGTTGGATATTGCACATCCATCACTGCATAGTGTCACCTCCCATGGGGCAGAGAAGCCTTAAAGCGGCTCCAGACCATGGTGGAATGAAGATTTCTACCCCTTTGGATGTCCTTCACTCATCCCTGGGGAGTCCAAACCCCATTCCCCACCCCAGGGACACCCTGGGTGTGCTGGGGAAGATGCACAGCGAGGAGCATCTGGGATGTGAAGACTGGGAGCGGAGGAGACAGACAGTCCTTTGCATGAGATGCTGTGACAGCTTCTCAAATCAAAATAGCTGGGATTGAGCCAAAGCAAGTCACCATTCCCCCCCTCCTTCCCTTTTTAACTCCCAACCATTTGGTGTTCAGCATGGTCCTTCCTGCAGGAGGACAGATTGTGTTTGGGGAAAGAGGAACAAAAGCCGCTCTGCAGCTGGCCCTTTGTGAAACGGGACAAGAAAGGGGGACAAGATGCTCAAACGCTGGGTATGATGTGCAAGGTGGGGGTCCACCCCCATCCACCCACCCCATCCTGCCCCAGCACCCCTTACCCAGGCAGGCAAAAGCTGTCTGGAAGCTGGCAAAGCTCATCCAGCAGACGATGGCTTGTCGGGATGGGCGGAGGATATGGGCTTTGTAGAAGACATCCAGCACCGCTCCTTGGTACAGAGCCTTCAGGTTGCTCCTGGGGAGACAGGCAAGCTGCATCCTGGCTTGGTGGGAAGGGGAAGAGGAGCGAGGATGCTGTACCTGTGCATCACCAGCGTCCTCAGGAGCATGGCGCAGGTCAGCAGGCAGCACAGCACCAGCGAGCAGATGTAGCACACTGCAGAGGAGCAGGGGGAGATGATGGGCTATGGCTGTGGCCATCCACACAATGGGATTTGACTGCAAAACCTATCTCAAGAGCATGGCCGGGGGGCACGTGATGGATGTGCCCATGCCTCAATTTCAACCCCTACCCTCTTTGTGACACAGGGATCTCCATCTCCCAGGTGAGTTGGTGAGGCAGTGAAAGGGAAGGGGAAAGACAAGCACCCAGGAGAAATAAAGCAGTTGGGTCAGCTGAGTGCTGAAAAAGCTGTAATAAGCAGGCAGTGAGATGGAGAGAGCCAAGGAGATGCTGCGGGGTAAATGCAAGAGGGAGAAGGGTTTGGTAGGAGAGGTGGAGATGTTGGGAGGGGGGAAAGAGGATGAGAGGGATTTGGTGACTTGGAAAAAGACATAACCTCGAGGTTGGTGGTACCCCAAGGTACACCATGGAGGGAGGGGGCACCCCTGCCATCCCCACATCCCCCATCCAGGGCCATCTGCTTGATTCCAGCCCATCTCAAAGCCCGCAGCTGAAGGGCAGCATCTGCAGCGCATCGCTGCCTTGGCACCAGGCATCCACGGCTGCTTTCATGTCTGCACGGCTGCGGCTTCAGCAGCTGGGTTCAACTCCTCCTGGAAGCTTTTCCATCAGCATCCAGCTTCCTGGACCACCCTCCGGGCCGGAAACCTCCCTGGTACATTGGGAAACCCTCCAGAAACCACCTCTGGATGCAGGGCCCAGCAGGGAGCCCACCTTCCAGTGACCACAGGTAGTACTTGACGGTCCTGAGCTCCTTCTCCATGTCACCAGGGGCAGCGGGGCTCTCCGAGGGCACCAAGCCAAACTGGACCAACAGCACCACGATGTCCTTCGTCATTCCTGCCCGGATGATCTGGATGGTGGGGATGACGGCCACCAGGAGCAGGAGGGCGACCTGTGCAGGAGCAGTGCCACGTGAGCCCCGGGTCACGGCATCCCATTGCTGAGCCATCGCCTTGGCTTAAGGATTTAAGGCTGCCTGAGCCCTGGAAGCACTGGGCCAGCTGCCATGAGGGGTGGTAATGCCTCAAGGCATGCAAATACCATTCTGATAGGCAAAAGTGTGGTGTGGCAATGCCCTCTGGGCTCCTCTGCCTCAGGAGGACACACAAAACAAGGAAGGGAGGGGGTTCTGCTTGGCATTTAACCATTGGCATCACCTGGTAGACAGCGATCATGGCTGTGGTCATGGACAGGACGAGCTTCAGTGGGATCCGGAAACCTGTGAGGAAGAATTGGAGAGGAGCTGGAATGTGGGATCACAAGGAAAGAGTGGAGCAGGCTGCAGGTCCAGCCAAGCCAGGAGCTAAGGCAAACACCCCAGTGAGAGCACTGGGAGAGGGCTGTCAAGTAGTAATTGGGATTTATTGAGAGCAATTCCACAGGGATCTAGCTGGGAGCGGTGTCTCCGTACTCCACAATCCCTTGAAACCTGGTCACAGAATCCAGGTTCATGCTGCATGGGGAGCCCTGTCCTCAGGGTGCCACCCTCTGGGACAGCCCCTGCTCCTCCCATGGGTGAAGGGGGCAAGGAACGCTTCCCTATTCCGCTCAGGGATTTTATCACATCCTCATGAAGCACCAGGCTGCACTCTGAGCACAACCCACACCTGAACCTCACTGCTTGAGCCCACCCATACCCCATGGCGGGGTCCCTTGCTTCCCACCCCGGAGCACAGCAGTGTGTGCATAGCCAGGACACGGCTGCTTTGGGGAAGGAGCCAGGAAAGGCATTTGCTGTCCCGGGAATGGGATGCAGGCAGTGTGGGGAGCCCGCGCCGCAGCCAACCTTCCTCAGGAGCATAGATGTAGGAGCCTAAGTACGTCTGCACCCTGGACAGGAGGCTCTCCTCGAGCTTTGCAGAGCTGGAGGAGGAAAAGGAGGGTGAGAAATGCGTCCCTTGGGAGCAGGGAGCCTCTCTGCCCCCGCTGTGAATCACTGATGGGGCAATGCTATGGGAATCGCTATGGGCAATGGGAATCGCTATGGCAATGCTATGTTATCCTTACCTCCCCTTCTGGGGGCGTTTGGACAGGACAGCCTTCAGGTACTTCTTGTAATAACCTCTCCCTGGCACCTTCAGGAAAGCAGCAATAAGTCACCTGCTTTGAGCACAGGAGTGTGCTCACAGTAAGCAGGGAGAGGTGGCTCTGCCTTCTGGGGGGCCAGAGCATCTGCATCCCATCTAGCAGCCATCTCCTGCCCCAGCCATACACATGATGCCCCACAGCACCCACAGGGATGATGGACTCCCAGCCATAATGAACGTGTTGGAATGGTGCTGGCAGCACATCTTCCAGCACCACAGAAGGTGGAAGTGAATGTGCCTTGTTCCCATCAGCAAAGCAGCCCAAACGCAGGCATACCAGTAGGACAGCTGAAACCCCCCATTCCCATCAGCCAGCTCCCACCAAGGGCCTGGGGTCACTTCAGTCCACACTTGGGCTGGCTGCTTATTCTGAAGTAGGTTTTTCCTCCTCTCTTCCCAACAAAGCCCCGGCATTTCCCAAAGGGCTGGGGATTATCCAGCGTGTTGGGAAAACAAGGCAACCCCAGTCCCGGCCTGAACAGGATGTATTGATGCTTTAAGCCTCTTGTACTAAGGAGTTTACTCCAAAGATGGATTTCCCACTCCCTCTTCAAATCCAAGGAGATAAAAAGAGCCGCCACCCCTGCCATCAAAAGAGGGATGGAGGGGAGGCAGCTCCCAGTGCTGGAGCAAAGTGGGGACCACATGGCCTAGGAGCACCCAGTTCTCCCAGTACCAAGGCAGGCAGAGATCTTGTGGGGCACGGGAACCCCCAAAACCATGCAGGTCCATCAGAGGGCTCTCCCATTCATCCCCACTGAGTCACCCCATAGATCTACATTACCTCCTTATCCAAGGTCTCCTCCTGCCCGGTGAAGCTCTTGATGAGCAGGGCTGGGTACCAAAGGCTTAAGAGCACAAGGCAGAGGATGATGGGGATGTAAGAGAGTGTGGAGTAGTACCTGTATATCTGGGGAGAAGCAGAGATGTCACCATCCCACCCCAGTCCTGGGTGGGTGACACCTTAATGTCCCTTGAAGGAGGTGATGAGAAAGCCTTGGGCGCAGCAGCCTCCCTGCTCCTTCCCCAGGCAGTGGGACCCATACCTTTGGTGACTGGGGACAATCCACCTTCTGCCAGATGTGGACCACGCAGTGGCACCAGGAGAGCAGGCAGCCCATGAGGTAGCTGGCCCTGTGCCGGACGGTGGCACAGGCCATCAGGGGGTAGTAGAAGGCAGGGTAGTAGAGCAAAGCCAGGATCTTCCAATACTCTGGATGGTACAACGGGAAAAGAGGAGGGAGAGCAAAACAGGCAAGAAGCAGCGCTCTCAGTAGGGACCAGGGTGAACAGGCTGCTCAGGCTGACACCCAAAGCTTCACACCTCCTGGGTGGGGAGGACTGGATGCTCACAGGGCAGGAGGGTGCTGGCCTTACCCCGGGTGCTCTGGGAGGAGTGGGTGATGAGCGGCAGAGGGTCCGTGTCCAAGACCAGCACGCACAGGGAGGAGAAGAGGATGCCGAACACTGCAGCCACCAGCCCGCGGTTGCCTTCCTCCTCCAGGAAGTTGGCTGGGCTGCAGGGCGAGGAAGCAATGAGCCCTCCACCAGGCCATGGGCACCCTGTCCTCACCATCCTCTGCCGCAGAGATGGTTTAGGTCCTGTGCTGCACCACAGCATCCCTCCACCCACTTGGCTGCAGGGTGATGGGGACCCTGGGGACCGGGTACCTGAGCAGTCCTGGGACACCATTCCAGCAGCTCCGGTGGAGACGCCTGCGCTTCACCAGCAAGGACAAGCCCAGGAGCACGGCCAGCTGCCAGAAACCCAACCGAGGGAGCACTAAATACATGGGGTGGTATTTGGGGGGGCATTTGGAGGTGCTGCGATGTGATGGGAACCTCCAGGGAGACACCACCTCCACCCAACAACCTCTATCCAGCCATGGTTGAAGCAAGGTGCTTCTCAACCTGTTCTGATGAGTTACAGGCTCTGACACCTCACTGGGACCATGCTATGGAAATAAACCAAAGCTTTCTATTGATTACAGTCTAGGGATGCTTGAGTCCCGTGTTAGAGCAGCCCAGCTCAAACCTCGCTCCAGCTCAAGCTGAAGAGCCCAGACATGGTATATGGGAGTAGATGGGCATGGCCCGAGCTGGGGGGCAGCAAATACAACATCAGGGCAAATAACTCATCCCATGGGATGTGGCAGGTACTTACGGAGATGGGCGCCATGCAGATGTGATACAGTCTGGGAGAAATGGTGGGGTCACAGTCTGGAATTACACTGGGAAACATGCTACAAAGGGGAAAAAGGCAATCATGTGCTGTTGTATTTAGTCCCAACAGGGCAAAGCAAAGATGCAGCAGGGATTTTCGTCTGATGGCCAGAAGGGGTAAACCTCCAAAGAGCTGGGTTACACAGCCAGGGGTGAAGTCACCCTCACAAGATAACTTACCATCAAGCAAGCAATAAAGATAACACCCAGGAACAGCCCCAGGCTGATCCCCATAGGGTCTGGGTGACCTCCTTCCACAAACAGTGATACTGAGAAGCAACAGGAGATCAGCAAGGAAGGATGAAGCCCAGCTGACCTCTCTTATTTCCACCCTAGCTGTGCCTTTTCAAGGGATGCAGCCTGCACAGAGCAGTTCCTGCTACCTAAGGCACTGCACTTGTTAAATGCCATCTGAGAGGCTGAAGGCCCCTTGGAGGGTGTTTCAGCGCCTTTCCCATGGGATAGGGACCAGCCCCAGAGCTGTGGGACAGCAGAGGCGATGGAAGCCTGTGGTTGGTGATGCCGCATCCAGCGCTGCATCCCCAGCCAGCCAAGGCCAAGCAGATGTGCCAGGCTTTGCTTTATTTATTCCCTCTCTGGCCTCCACAGCATCCCTTAATCTCTGCTGTGCCGCAGCCCTGCTGCTCTCCCAAGGCCAGGAGGGACTGTGCTGGCTGCAAATCCCTGTGCCAGGGAGCCGGGCATCCTGAGCCCCATAACACACAGTGGGGGAGCCCACACGAGCCCTCATGCTCATGGGGTGGGCAGAGACAGGAGCAAAGCTGCAGGGAAGGGTCTGAGAGTGGAATGAGGATTCCTCAGGTATCCCATATCCAAGGCTGTCCCCAGCCTGCCAGTAAAGGCTGTATAGGACCAGCTGACATTAGCAAAGCTCCGATTTCAGACTTCTTTTCCCTGCCCTTGGATAGGGCAGAAAATTCCTGGTGTCCAAAAATATCCCAGCTCTGGAAATCCAGAGCACACACCCGTAACATTGAGAGCACAGGGACACCAAACCCCTTTTTGGGCTTCAGCACCTAAAGCCAGAGCACAATGTGAAAGATTAAGGGCAAGGAGGATCCCTTTGAGCTGGTCAACACTGGGATCTCCTCCTGCTGGCCCTCTGGGTTGGGTACCAGTCAACTGAGTGGTATAAAACTCAGAGAGGATTAAGTCAACAGAGGGACAATAGGTGCTGATAGATGGGCCTTGGGATGCCCATCTTCACATTGGATAGATCACCCTGCTGCTCCATGCTTCAGTTTCCCCTCCCTGTAGCACTTCCTTTAGCCTTGGTAAGGATATGAAGTGCCAGGTCCTTGCTGTGAGGTTGAGCCCTGGGTTCCCATCCCTGGGACAAGCACCCATAAAGGAATGAAGCAGTTTTAGGTGGCCCAAAAGAGCCTTTTCCATCACCTCCCGCTCTCCCAGTCATAAATGCTGGGACTGGTGCTCAGGGGATGCTGCTCCACAACAAGGGGATGCGGCAGCTGGGCAGGAGGCTGGCTACTGCCCAGGGTGACCCAGCAGGGACAGGGGACACGTGGCACCCACCGGCAGGGCTGGACACTTACTCATCCTGTGGCACGGCTGGCTCCATGGTTTCATAGATGTACCAGTCAGAAGCGAGGTCATCGGTGCTGTCCAGAGGAGCATCCTGCATCCCACCGGAGCTGTTGGCTGCCATGGCTGTCTCCTTCCTCCCTCTTTAGGCTGGGGAGCAATGGGGAGAGGCAGCTGGAGGCAAGGTGAGTCCTCCTGGGTTCTTGGAAATGAAGGGATAGAGGTGCTGAGCCAAGAGGCTTTATGTCCTCGGGTCCCTCCCGCAGACAGGGAGGGAGCAGGCACTGGGAGCCTTCCAAACCCAGCCGTGCCTCCAAGGATCCAGCTTTTATCTGGACTCAGAAGGAGGCAGAAGGGATGAACCCCCCTTCCCCGAGCGCTCCGGGGACACCTCATGGTCCCGGCTCGGGATGCTGATAGGCTCGGAGCCTTTGTTTGGGTTGCGGGGCAGCCTTTATGCCGACGGCTCCGAAACCAGCGCAAGGGTCAAGCATGGGGCTCAGCAGCACAGGCTGGCAAAGGGAGGACGCCATCTCCCAGCCGTGACCCCTGTCCCCAATGTCCCTCTGTGCCACAACACCCCCCAGCCCCAGGAGGAAGCCTCAGCCCCATCCCTGTGCAGCAAGGAGAAGGAAGGAGGCTTTGTTGCGGTGCCAGAGCCAACAAGTCCTCATCTCTCCTTCTCCCCACTATTCCTTGATGACTTTGGCTCAGACGGCCCCACACCCTCTGCTCTGTCCCAGAGCTACACTGCACAAGCTGCAACGTGCCCATCTATCACAGCTATGGGGAAGGCAGTGCCCAAAGGTATCCCCAGGTGCCAGGCAGTGATGCTCAGAGCAGCCTCCAAGCCCCAGAAGCCAGCCCAGGACCTGGGGACACCTCATCCCACAGCACAAGGGACACATCCAGCACTGCCAGGGCTGCTCTGAGGGTGTGGGTAGGAGATGGATGGCTGAGCCAGCAGCTCTGCTCAGGGCTGCTGTTTGTACAGCTGGTGTTCACCAGGGACCATGATGGATACAGCACATCAGCTTCAAAGAGATTCCCTGAACCAAGATTGTGGCCCTGCAGGCAGCCCCATCTCTGAACAGACAAATGGCACTCACCACCATGGCCCTACTGCACCATGATCTGATGTTTCACTGGGGATCATGTCCCCAGCCAGGTTCCGGCTCCCCTCCAGGGCTCTTTAGGTCAGGACATGAGACCTGGGACCTTCACCTCCCTTCCCATAGGGGCAAAACTCAACTCGATTGCAGGTCCCCCTTATGCCAGCATTTGGTTCACGACCATCAGGGTGCCACAACCACCACCCCGCTCCCCACTGGAGGAAGAATGGACACCCCAGCCCCAGCAGAGCATCCAAATCAGATGGACCCCAGACCCCATCTTCAACCCACCCAGCACATCCCAGCCTCAAGCTATCAACTCTCCAGCCATCCCCTGGCTCTGCATGTGCAGGGGAGCAGCTCTGACCTCACCTCCCAGGAATGCAGCACTCAGTAAAAAGGTAGAAGGAGCTTGTAAAGTTCATGGCAATGCGCACAAGTCTGCAAGCCCCTTCCTCCTCCCACTGGTCACCAAAGGCTGCCAGGGCTTGGAAGCTGGGGTTGGGGTTTAGGGAGGTGAGCAGCATCCTTCTGGGGATGCAGTTTTCCCCCACCAAGCAGCATCTGGGTGAGGAACCAGCTCCAAAAGCCACCAAGGGATTGCCTGTGCCCCTCTCGTGGGGTCACCCAAGGAAGGGCAACCAGCAGAAAGCAAGATTTACCACCCACCAGTCCTGCCATTACCTGAGATGATCCACCTCTGGCCGAGCCACATTGCCAGTGCTCAGGTGTGCAGCCTCTCGGGGACACGGAAGGCACAGAAAAGCAGGAAGGAAAGAAGGGAAAGGCCCAGCCAGGGGCATGGTACACACAGCCATAGGGAGCCCTGCAGGCAAGCCACAGCCTGCATCTGCACTGGGCGGCAGCATCATGAGAGCAAGCTGAGAAGCTCCCTGGGTGGTGTGCGAGGTCCCTTCCAGCACATCCCTGCTCATAGCCACATACACACCCCCAGGGCTTTGCTGCCCATCTCTGGCTGGGGATGAGAGCAAGATGGGTCCACACCTTCCCAGCACCACCTTCAAGTCCTTCATCCCATCCCACTCCTCTTCATGAGATGGATCCAGTCCCAGTCTAGGTCACCAACCCATCATTGTGGCCCAACAAGCAGCGTGGCAGCATCTTGGTCATCACTGTGAATAGTCTGCAGAAATCAGGAGGTGCTCCAGAGCCTCCAACCCATCTGCTGAAACCCATCACCATCAGGTGAGCCAGCGCAGTGTGAGGCTGAACAAGTGATGCTGTGACATGGGGATATGTAAGCGTGGTCCCCAATGGGTCTGTTATTGCCCTGGCCAACAGGGCTGATGCTGTGATAGAGGAGACACCTCCCTATTCCTGCAAATCCCAGTGTCAGGGGAGGGAAGGAGAAGGAAAAGCAGGTGGGATCAGCGGGATCAGCAACCCCTCTGTGCCCTGGGCTTCCCCGAAACCGGATCCCTTTGCTCCTCCACATAACCTCTGCTGGAACAGACCGGGCCTTTGATCGCAGCAGCCGAGCCTGAGATTGATGGCTTCAATAAAGCTCCTTCATATTCTTCATTTCCCACTATCCATCACTCTCTGGGGAGCTTTTGCATCCCACCACTATGAATTAAACTGGGGAAGGGGGGAAGAGAATAAGGGAGTCCTAAGGGAATGACCCCCCCTTCCCTCCTCCCATTCAACCTAATGGTGATGCCTTATGTACAGCTTTTAATAAAAGTGATAAAGATCTCATTGCACAACTGCTCAGGGAGTGGTGTTGGGGGGGGGAAGTTGTTTAAGTGAGATCTCCTCTAATTCAATTGCCATTCAGGAGCCACGCAGGTCCCCGCAGAGCCAGGTAGCACAGGGATGGTTTAGAGATATCGAAGGGAAGATGGCATTCTCAAAGGTGGGTTTAGCAGGTCCGGATGATGCTCGGAGATACAAAGCCTGGTGTCACATCAGCACAAGCTGAGCCAGCCAACTTCATCCCCAAATCCACCACACTCAGAGCCCCAGCCCCAACATGAGATGAGAACAGGGGGGTTGCATCCTCCCAGCCAGGAAGGGCAAGGGGACAGTCGGTCCCATCCCTTCCCTCCACCGGTGACCTTGGAGCCACCCAAGCACCAAAGATGCCAGGTCCAGCCCTTGCCTGGAGCTTCCTGCAGCCTTTGATCATCCTGCAGGGAAAGCAGCCCTTTTCCCAGCGTGCCGATCCCATGCTGCTCCCAGCTTCCCCAAACACAAGTGCCAAGGAGCCCACACACACACAGACACTCTCTGGACCATCCAGCCGGAGCCTGGGACCTCCGGGAAGCGGCCGCTCACCCTTCAGCCCCGGGGCACCGGGAACGCTCAGCTCACTGCACTGCTGAGGGATGCGGGAAGCCGGTGACCGCATCCCAGCCTGCGGCTGCCTCCATCCCCTCGGGAAAGCCCCTGCCCGGGGCATTGAAAGGGCTGGGGGAAGTTTCTCATCCCGCTCCGACAGCGTTTTCCTCCCTCCGCCCAGCTCCGTGAAGCCGGTTCTCATCCGACCCAAACCGCTTCTCCCCTGCATCCCTCCTGCACCCCGACCTCAGCCGTGGAGCCACTCCAGCCCTTCCCAAACCCTTTCCCTGCAAGCTGGAGCCTGCAGATAATAAATCCCCCACAGAGATCACAAACACTCTCCCCACAAAGCCAAAGAAGCCCCTTTTGCACTTCCAAAGCTTCAAGATCTAAGCAGAGGAGGCTGTTTAAGGTGATTTTTAGGCTCCTGAGACACCCCCCCCCTCCCCGACCCCTTCATTTTAAAGCAAAGGCAGTGGCACCTGCTGCACACACAGCCCCTCTGCTGTGTCAGGAGTTAGCAGAACTGCACCCAAAACCTGCTGACAAAGCCATCCATGGCACGGAGAGCAGCGCTGGGGGGAGGCTTAGGGGCAGAGCACCCCATAACCTCCCCTCCTGCCATGCTGGGGGGAGAGAGCATCCCCAGGAAAAGCTCCCCCCTTCCGCCCCCCGGATTGCTTCCCAACAGGGAAGCAAAATCCCTGCTTAAGGGCAGGGCTGAGATTTGGGGAGGATGTGAGTCCTACAGCCCCAGAGCAGGATTTGCCCCCATCACACCCCCCCCCCCCCCCCCATTTGCTGTAGATTGAAGCTCCCATTCACAACCTGGTGCAAGCAACCCCCCAGGCTCATGATGCCAAGTTTGCAAGGATGGAAAAGGAGGGGGAGAAGACGAAAGACAACAAAAAGAAGTTACCTTCTTCCACCCAGCGACCTCCTGGCAGGGCACCAGAGGCTTGGCCCGATGGGGGTCCCAGGAGAAGCGTGGCCTCGCTGAGCGGGGTCTAAAGCATCAGGCGCGGATGCAGCCAAGCAAACTTAGAGGCAAAGTTCAGCGCACCGGGAGCGCGGAGGCTGCCGAGGCTCAGGGAACTTTATCCCCTCCATCGCCAGGAGGCCTTGGCTGGGGGCCACCCTGGGGTTTAGGAAACGAAAAGCAACCAACCCCGTGCTCCGCTCTCCCTTTGATTAGGCAGAGCTTTTCGGCACAGGAGGCAGCTTGGGCCAGCCCCCTTCTTCCCCAGCTCTCCGCAGGCTCAGCTGGGTTGTGGCTGCTCCCTCCGAGCCTGGGCTGAGGTTTAACGGGGGAGCCCAAGGGGCTGAGGTGCTGCTGTGTGTTCCCCATCCATGGGATGCAAACATCGCCGCTTCCTCCTGGGATAAAGCAAAGGGCCAGCTCTGAATGGGTGTAGGACCCGGAGCCCGATCCTTCACCCAAATCCTGTGGCTTTGTTTGGGTTTGTCTCCTGTGTGTGATTTGGGAGGGTTTGGAACAGGGAAGGGAAGTTTGGGGTTGGGTCAAGCTTGGGGTACACCATCACCAAAGCATCCCCCTTGGAAATGGCCAGATACCGCCCAGAGCTCAGAGAGTGATGGGCGCACAGCAGTGGGAAACAGCCTGGAGAAGGTGAGAAAGGGATGCTCTGGGGGATGCTTTGCCCCAGGAGTGGGTGCAGGCAGCTGGGAGGAACAGGTAACCTTGCCACACTGTCTTTATCCATCTTCTCCTTGGCCAACACATCCTTCCCACTGGCTACACTCAGTGAGGAGACAGCAGTTTACAAGCAAAGGCTATAATCTGGACAAATACACACACAGCATGTGACATGTAAGTGACATACATGTGACAGCAAGCGCAGCGGAGGAAAATTAATCAAGGTTGAAGATTTAGCTTAATTTTTAGCCAAAACCTTGTGGCAATGCTGAACAAACTGACCTGCAGGCTTGGTTGGTTGGGTGGTTGGTTGGTTGGGGTGTTTTTAACTCCCTTCCCTGGGATTGCTTCCTGCGAAAGCTGAGGGATTGGGGAAGGGTTTAGAAGAGCTGGAAAAGGCTGGAATTCAGAGTCACAGGGTTCCCCCTCCAACAAAACTATTCCAGCAGTGTCCATCCTGGTCTAGCAAAGTGATCACTACACAGATGCACACCAGCCATGGGAGGGCTTTGTTGCTACCAAAACACCTCAAGGCACTCTAATGCCCTGCAGAAAGTCGGTATTCCAGCAGCCTGGCATTTTGACTCAAGGTGCTAGGCTGGGAAAAGCCCCACAAGATGTGGGCGAACCAGAAGCTCAGTGGCATCCCTCAGTGCTGCTGCTTGTGCTGGGTAGCTATGGACACAGGATGGGTTTCCTGCTTCAGACACCTCTCCCAGCCCTAAGCAGCTCCTGAAGGGTGCAGAGCTCCTTACCACATACATCCTTGGTCTCTTCCCTACATCATGCACAGTCTCCCAGATCCCTTTTCTGCTTATGGAGAAGTGTCATCTCCATGTATGCGCTGATGTCCTGAGCCTGTTTAGCCCTGTAACAATGGATAAGGTGCTGGAGCATTGAGATTCAGGAGCAAATCACAGCCTCTCATTGTGCCAATGGGAACCCTTCCCTAAAGGAAAGGGCTTTTACATTGAGGAACCCATTTTTGGTCAAACCACCCAGGTCTGGTCACCATTACACAGCTTTCCAAGCCCAGCCATAGAGCTGACCAGACAGGGCTCCAGCCAAAGGCCACCTTTCACTTTACATCCCGTTTGCCAAAAGCAGGCTTCACACTCTCTTAGGAAGCAACTTCATTCCCAACAGAGCCATGGGAACTGGGATTTAGTTTGGGGAAGGTCTCATCCCCAGGTTTGCCATGTTAAGATGGTGGAGGTGGCACCCCCAGACCTGCTGCACATCCACCTTTGGTGCAGCTGGGGAAATGCTGCATGAATGAACTGTGCCTGAGAGCGGATGATGGGCAAATGAGTCTTTGATGATGCCGTCATTAGCGGTGGCTCCGTAATGTGTTTGCACAAGGAAATTAAGCCTGCTAGTTAAGGCTGAAATAGCTCCCATTTGCCCGCATTAGAGCCTGGAGGGTTTTAATTGAGGCAGAGGAAACATTCAGAAGCATTTGGGAGCTGAAGATCCTTCACACAGGCACCAATATGATCGCAGTAATTCCTGCTTCTGTGCCCCATGGAAGCTGCACAAGGTCCCCACTACGGTTTGGGGTGCAAAGGGAGGGATGGAGCAAGTCCCATCAGATGGCATTCGGCACAGCAGCGGCATCCCCAAATGTAACTAAGCCCAGATGGCCAGGGTTTTGTAGGTGAAACGGCTCAGAGCAGCATCACACATGCAATTCAAGCTACCCCTGATGGGGAGAAACCACCTTGATCCAACACAGCTCTGCTTTGGGAGCACTGAGCGGTCTCCAGCCATCAAGGGAAGGAGCCACCAAGTCCTCAGCGCTAAAAGCATTTATGCTCACAGCTTTCACAAGGAAGCAACCCAGCCATCAGCACATCCATGCACCCTAGAGACACCAGTACTCCTCCTGACAGGCTTGACTGGCAGTGGAATGACTCCCCCCCCTCCTTCTCCATTGCACCAGCTCATGCTTAGCACCACACACAGCACCACTGCCTCCTGCTTTAAACCCAACTCAGTGCCCAAACCCCCTGAATTATGACCCATTTCCCTCCTGACCTCCATAGCATTTTCACCACAGCAAATGCGTCAGCCAAGGTTGTGTTTGGTACCACAGCCTGTGTTTTTCCTTCCCAAATAGAAACTGAGGAAGCTCCAGAAGGTCCAACCAGCCTCCCTGGAAGCACCACGGAGGCGTGGGAGACCAGGATTTGTTTTTACTGGGTCCATCATGCACCCTACCAAAGGGATCCTTGGGGGCAGTGATTTTGAGACAGGTCTCAAATGCATCATAAGCCCCTGGGCTTCTCCCATAGCCAAAGCCTTATGTCCCATGGCCTCAGATGCTGGTTTATCCCCCAGCCCTCTCCCCGAGGATAATGTTGTTGTTTCAAGCTTGCACCAGCGTGAAGAGACTGGAATGTGGGTTTTATACAGAGCTGTCTCAGAGAAGGGCCATCTGCTGTCCCGGCTCCGGCTCACGTTTCACTGGGAGCATCCCGAAAGCTGTGGGAACGCGCTATTCCCAGCGGTGATGGAGGAATGAGATCTGACAGGGCATGGGGCTCCTGGTGAGGATCAGGATATGCTGGTCCAGCTCCTGCCCACCCCAGACCATCATCCCCTTGATGTCAGTCCCCAGATACCCATGATGGGACTGAGGTCCACACGCTCAGCTGGTTCAGCAGGTGAAGGAGCTCAGCTCCAGTTGCACCAGCAGGAAGCATGCACCCATGTGGGAAAGGGCAGCCCATGCACTACTGAGCTGGAGGAAAGCAAAACCTCTTTGCAGCCAGCTCTGATGCAGGGCATCACCCCAGGAAGGCTCCATACACACATTCAGGCACCCCACCAGCCTCAGTTTCCCTTCAGCCATCCCCAGCCCTCACTGCAGCAGCAAGATCCCAGCACTGGGTCAATCCCTTGGTGCCCAAAGCCCAGCAGGGCTGCAAATGCACATCTGAGCTGTGCTTGTAAAGAGCCATTGCATCTGAGCTGTTGTGCAGACACTTCGAGCCATTGGGCAGCTTCTGCTTTGGGCTTGTCTGCAAAGTGAGCAGGGGTTAGGATTAGGTGGCTGAATGCCCCTGATCCCTTTGGGGAGCTGATCTCAAGGCCAAGCACAGCTCCATAGGTTCACCCCATGCCTCTCCCTTGGCTCACCTGACCCTGTGCCACCAAATGCACACTTGCCCCAAAGACAAACCCCAGAGCATCAGTGCAGGCTTGGCTGCCCAATCCCATCACCAGGAGGTCAGCAAACAGCCCAGGGGTGCAGGAGGAGCAGGATTGTCCCACCGGAGTCATCACCACATGGAAGCAACCTGCTTGGCTTGCACCATCCTCAACACCAGCATCTCCCAAAGGCTCTGCAACATCCAGCAAACACCTTTTGTGGTGAACTTCACAGGGACAGGGGCTCAAGGAGCCATCGATTCCCCTCTGCAAGGATGCATGCACCTACCAGCACACCCTGTATGCACACCCATGTGTGTTGCGCTGCTCAGCATCACCCTGGATATCCCAGGTTGTTTGCTGGAAGGCAGCCACCGCTTTACATCTTGTTACCTGGTTCCCCAACAAACAAACTGGAGTCGCAAGCCCTTGTCCCTGCCATTGCCCAGGGGCAGGAAAGCTCTCAGCATCTCAGGGATCTCTTCCCCTCTCTTGCTGCCTTTGAAAGCTGCCTGCGGAGATGTGAAGCCAACGCATACCCAGGAGCACCCCCAGGCGCTTTCCTTGCTAGGAAGAAGGGAAGAGCTGCAGCAAAGCCAGCTTGGCTCAGAAACCCACCCCAGGCTGCTGCAGGGGCTCGCTCTGGGGCAGTGACCTCCAAGATCACTGCTAACAAGGAGGGTTCACCTCCAGATCCCACCTCCATCCCCATGCTGGGCAGGGCAAGGGAGCCTCACGTCCCCCTGCCCCTGCAGCGCTCCCGGCTGAGGGCTGAGGAGAAGACCCTGGACTTCGAGTTTGAGGTGCTCAGCGCCCAGTTTAACCAGCAGGGCCGCTATGCCCTGAGGCTCACGGTGGAGAACCCGCTGCTGCAGGGCTCCAGCGCTGGCATCCAGCTCCGTGTCAACAGCGGGGAGGTCACCCAGGGCAGCACCAGCACCACCGACACCATCGAGCAGAGGGACCTCCATCGGCTCTACTGCTTCCAGAGGAGGAAATTCACCTTCACCCTGCCCAGAGGTAAGGGGCTGGGTGCCATGGGGGTACCTGGCAGGGGAGGTGGCACAGGAGCACGGCTCTGCAGCATCGAATCGTTAAAATCAACCAGGAAAAGCCCTTTAAGCTCATCCAGTCCAACCGTTCCCATCAGTGCCCAGGCCACCACTAACCCATGGCACTGAGGCCTCGTCTCCACGCTGTGTGAACACTTGCAGGGACGGTGCCTGCAGCCCTGCCCTGGGCAGCCTGTTCCAATGCCTGAGCACCTCTGGGGCAGGAATTGTTCCTCAGCTCCATCTAAACCTGCCCTGGTGCAGCTTGAGGCTGTTTCCTCTTGTCCCATCCCTTGTTCCTTGGGAGCAGAGCCCAGGCCCTCCTGGCTCCATCCCCCTGTCAGGCAGTTGGAGGCAGCGATCAGGTCCC